TATAAAGAATATCTCTTTGGATTTGAGACTTTAGTCTTTGCAACTTTACAGATCTTCTTTATGCACCAAGGGCTTGTAACACTCCAAAGAGAAAGGAAAACTTGAAACCTCATCATATGACCCCTTTAAAAATAAATATGTGAAAATACACAACAGACAAAAAGACCAGAGACAATATATTGTATGCACAGATGTGGATATGTAAAGGTTTTCATGAACATGCTAGCGTAAAAGAAAGTGTATTTATTAAAAAAAGTCACCTAATTTAGATAAATAAGCATTTGAGAAAACAATAGAGCAGTAATAAAATTCAGTTGAAATATGAAATGTTTGGATTATTGTGAAACTGGTGAAATGATGTGTGTGTTTTCAGCATGTGTGGAGTGAAAGCGAGGACTGTCTTCCGTTCCTGCAGCTCGCACAGGACTACATCTCCTCCTGCGGGAAGAAAACACTGCTGGAGGTGCTGGACAAAGTCTTCAGATCCTTCAGGCCTGTAAGTCTCACTCTACTGTACATTTCTGAATAATAATAAGCACAATAAACAATTATACAGCCATGTAATATAGTGAATCAGTTTAACGAATGCATAACCTTTGCCAAGCAGTCCATATAAGCTGTGAATGCTCAAGCAGTTTGAGAGATTTGGGATTTATTACTATAAATTCCCTTGTCATTTGAGGTGTAACATAAGGCTTACATAATAGTTGGAAAAATGTTGGAAATATGCACGTAGCTGGCAATTTTCTGCAAATCTGTACCAGTTACAGAGGCCTTTGACTTTGATGTCTGTACTCTTTTGCTATGAATCGTCATTATTGTTGTATGGTCTCAGTGGTTTTTTGGCATGTGGGTGATTTCATGCATGAGGAAAGCTGAAAAGCAGAAAAAAGTGCTGCTTTTGCCAGATCTCGATGACAGAAAATCACATTTTAACTAATGCAGCTAAATCAAATGAAAATAAGTTGTAACTGTATATTACATTTTTTTCTCAAACAAAGCAAATGTTGAATGGCCATAGAAAACTTAAGTTCTTAAATTTTTGTGGCATAGACAAAGTGTGTTGATGGTACGTTTTATTTGCAAACATGCTTGAGCAAATTAATCAAAGTGAACATTTCTGAGGTTTTTTATTGTTCCATTTGTTTCTTCCATGCTTGACAAATCTTGCGTGTGTGACGTGTTTACAGACGTTTTTTAAATGTTTCGAACGTGCCTCATGCAATCAGATTTTAGAGCCAAAACTGTGTTTACAATCTTATAATGGAATCTCTGGAATGGCAATGCATGTTACATTTGAATATTCAGTTTTGTTCTGTTCTGGTTTGATTCTATACTATTCAGTTTGGAATGATTGTGAAATTCTTCTGCAGCTCCTGGGCCTTCCAGATATTGACGATGACGCATTCGATCAGTATCACGCAGATGTGGAGGAGGAACCAGAGCCAGACCACCAGCAGATGGGTGTGAGCCAGCAATAATGCCCAGCAGAGAGGCTCCGCGCTGGGCCACAGTCTCTGCATCGAGCCCTGCTCTCCTAACCTTACTCACCTGGCTCTTCTTCTTACAGTATACACACAAACACACACACTGCATCATTACACCCTTTAAAATCTGGACAGCTTTTCCTGCACCCTGATTTTAACTCAAGTGATCATTATTTTGATCAATATTATTTCTCATTAACTTCTCAAGCAGAGACAAAACAAATATCTCATAATATTTTTTTTCAATAATCTGGAGGCAGTAGATTAGAAACTTAAGTTCTGAATGGAATACCAGTGTACTGCATACTGCTGCATTGTCACATGACCTCATTATGTCGCATGTTTAATTCAGTGTCATACAGTTGTCAAAATTACTGTAGGATGTTTTGCATTCGCATCCAAATTTGTGGTAAAAAATGTCTTAATTCTTGACAGTGTGATCAAAATGTAAAAGTTGCAATTGGTATCACGTCCTATTCATTCATCAAATTGGAAATAGAAGGTAAATGCTGCATATAGGGCAGGTATTCCATGCAAACACAAAATTTACATGGAAAATAATAAGAGTAGTATGCTGTTCTGGACATAACACTTTGAATTGAAGTTGAATAATTAATGAAAGTCTCTTTTTATGTGCTTTAATGAATCATTCACAATTAGACCGGGAACATGTATTAAGTAAGTAAATGGGGTCAGTTATTTTGATTTCATGTAGTGAATCTAGATGTCCTTTGTGGATTTATTGTACCTTTGAATAACACATTTACCCCAGATCTTGTCTTCGTATTGAAATGTACTTTAAATCAAAAAATATCTGCTAAATGACAAATAACCAAAGCTGACTGCAAGTGCATATAAAGTATCTGTGTTTTAAGGATCAAATTAAACAAGATCAGAAGCTAAAGTCTAATTATCACTGATTCAGAGGTGATGAGGTTATTGTGTTTTTGGGTGGGTGAGATGTTTAAACAAACCCTTGATTAATCCTCTCTTTGCCTTTATTGTCTTTTGATTGTATTAATCAACGTCCTCTGAGTTAAGAAAGTTCAACTCGAGAGTTTAACCACAGAAAGGTCAAACTGTGTATCTAAGTCTAAACTCTTAAAATAAAGGTTCTTCTGCAGTTCAACACTGAATCCAATTCTTATCAAGATCCATTTTTGGTCTCATAGGGTTCTTGAGTTGAAATAGACTTCTTTAAAGGTGCTCTGTACGATTTTTAAATATAGTATCAGCCCACACCCTTTTAAAGATATAGGGCCCTATCATACACTCGGCGCAATGCAACACCAGGCACAATGCAAGTGTTTTTTGCTAGTTTCAGCCTGATGCAGTTATCATTTTCACATCCAGTGGCACGTTGTTTAAATAGCAAATGCACTTGCGCCCATCTGTTCACCCACGGGCGTGCTGGTCTGAAAACAAGGTGTGTGCAGGTGCATTGTTGTCGCGTTACTATTTTGACGCAACTGAAAACGATTGCACCTTTGACCAAATAAAACCTGGTCTAAAGTCAATGGTGCAGTATTTTTTTTATTTAAGAGGCGTAAAATGCCGTAATTCGTATTATGCACCAAATGCTAAATATTAAAAATGAAAGGATTAAAATGTAAAAGATAATTATTGTGTACGCTTTAACCTCGCACACGAGCAGATCTGTTTCCTCTCTGGAGACGCGTTCAGTCTTTGCTCTTGCAAATTCCGCCATGTAAATGAGCGAATCCGCCATCGTGCAAGCACAACTGGCTTTTAAAGGGAATGGGAGATGAGACTCTGATTGGTTTATTGCACGTTACGCCCAAAACAGACCCATGACTCATAGGTACAACCTATTAAAGGGTAAAACCTTTAAAGTGTATTTGGACACACCCTAAGTGCACCAGCGCCATGCGCTTCAGACCATGCGCTTAGATCGTTAAAATAGGGCCCAGTATGTTCAATTTTTCCAGCAGTCGGAACGGCCGGGGTGTGTTTGTTATTGTATGTAAGCCACGCCCTTTGAAACTTATGCCCCTCCCTGCATTTATAATGAGACTGCGAAAGCAACCTCCCACTCCGTTTTGTAAAAGCAAGCTGGTGGAGCATAGTACGCAGCTTTCTATTAAAGGCGAACATCCACATGCCCTGGTTTTATATTTGCATAAAACCTCCTCATTTGACATTGTTTATAAAAGCCACATTTTTCTTAAGTTTTGTTATCTGTCTCTTTTTTTTAATGTTGCGCAAAAGGGGGCATGGCCAAAGCACACATTTGTTTTGAGATGCGCTGCTCCCGTGCGAAAAGTTGAGAAATTGTAAAAAAAAAAAAAGAAAAGGTTGAGAAATCGTATATAGCACCTTTAAAGAAAACTTAGATTAGGAAGTTATTGGAGTCAGTTTTTAAAGCACCAGATCAGATTTATTTTTTTTGGCAGTTGGAATTTTCCTGTAAAACCATGGATATCACCAGAACCTTTAGTTTTAAGAGCAGGCCTATATATATATATATATATATATATATCAGCTGATTCAGGTGACTGCTGTGTTATGGTCATGTGACCTGATGGCGCAGTTGCCATGACCTGTTTAAAGCATAATTTATCTGCTGTTATCTCAACAAACAGGACTGCACAGGCCGTGCCACAGACGAGGTCAGCAGAGGCACATTATGTTTCTTCAGGACATACTGTATGTGAATTTGCTGACGTTGTGGCCGCTAAACTTCCACTGTCTTCTGCTTCAATAGTGTCTTCCTGCACACACCCAGTCTAAAGTGAAGCGTAGAGATGAATTATACCAACAGTGTGTTACCTATATATATATATATATATATATATATATCAGCTGATTCAGGTGACTGCTGTGTTATGGTCATGTGACCTGATGGCGCAGTTGCCATGACCTGTTTAAAGCATAATTTATCTGCTGTTATCTCAACAAACAGGACTGCACAGGCCGTGCCACAGACGAGGTCAGCAGAGGCACATTATGTTTCTTCAGGACATACTGTATGTGAATTTGCTGACGTTGTGGCCGCTAAACTTCCACTGTCTTCTGCTTCAATAGTGTCTTCCTGCACACACCCAGTCTAAAGTGAAGCGTAGAGATGAATTATACCAACAGTGTGTTACAGAGATCAAAGCTGCTGTTTTTCTGCCTTTATGTAGTTATGTAACAGTTAAAGCTCTGTACCTTATTGTGATATTTATTTTATTTTACTGTTTATTTATTTGTCCCGTGGTCTAAACTTCTCCACTTTGCCACTTTTTGCGTAATTTTAATTTATGTTGCTTGACCATTTATGTACGTAGCTTAACCTTTCAAACATGTATTTCTTTTGTTTATATGTATTCATCTTTTCACCTGACTGTCTTTATTGTGCAACAGTTAAAGCTTTATACCGGATTTGTGATTTCTATCTTATTTATTATTTATATTATTTATTAATATTTATATATTGTTTATTATTAGTTTACCTGTTTATGATTTATTTATTTATTTACTCATGTGTGTAAATCCATTTGTGGATGATATTTTCATCACCTCTATAACTAATAGTTTAATTTCTAAGAAGATTGTTCAAATCTTACAATGTGGTAATTGGAAATATTGTTATTGATTTTAGATTAATATTGATCAGCCTGTCTAGAGTCATTTAGAATTAAACTGGAGTAAAATTCATTTGGGTCAGCATGTAATGTAACCTGAAATTCAACAATTAAATTTGAACCTTATGAGTGTATTCTGCATTTCTTAGCCTTAATTTCATAGCTGTGTTTTCATAACTGGTCAAACCCTGTTTTTTCCCCCATGCACCCAGCTGTAGCCTTTGACATTAAATTGTCAGTTTGTTAGGCTATTAACCATTTGCATCTATTTGGTTTAAATTATCATATTTTCAAAATGCATTGAAAGCATTTGTATAGAATAAAGAAATGTAGAGATCAAGAAAAAATTTATCTGGAGATGGAAAATGGGAAGACTCAAGAATTACAAGTAGAATTGGACACAGGATTGAATGGAAATCTATTATCAGACAGGTTTATGTGTGAATGAAGAATTTATTTGCAAAAACAGATAGCTCCGTTTTTATTAATTTTAAAATTAATATTTAAAATCATGTTTTTTTTATTGTGTTATCATGTTTTTATTGTGTTTTATTGTATTAGCTGAATGTTTAGTTATTATTATTTAATCAAAACAACCCAACTGCAGTTTGACTGATATTGGTTATTGAGTTATCTGTTTTTGCAAGTGAACTCTTCAGATTGTGGCATGACAGAAATTTTTACAGCAATGCAGAGCATATGACAGACCAATAGGCTGCAAATACTACAGACAAAAGTACAATTAAAAGGTACAGAATATAACTGTAGAAAAAGTTAGAAGCGATGGAATCAAAGAGTTGCGGTGTTCAATGTTTTTAACCTACTCATTAATTGTCACACTCCAGTTCAGTAGGTGGCGCTAACGCTGCATAAGAACAATACAAGAAGAAGAAGCAGCAGCAGAAAAGAAGCACCAAAGAGGAAAATATTCTAACAAGATCCTAAGGGTTGGACATACTATGCTGAATAAAAATAATAAATAAACATCCAACAGGATTATGTGAGCACTGTGGAATAGAGGAATCAGTAGAACATGTTATTTGTGTTTGACAAAAGTATACTAAAGGGTTAGTTCACCCAAAAATTTGCCCATAAATGACTCACCCTCAATGCATGCTAGGTGTATATGACTTTCTTCTTTCAGATGAATCCAGTCGGAGTTATATTAAAAATTGTCTTTGATCTTTCAAGTTGTTTAATGCCAGTCAGCGGGTGTTGCATCAGTCCAAAAGAAGTGAAATAAAAAGCGCCCATCCATAAAAGAAGTGTCTCACACGGCTCCGGGGGGTGAACAAAGTCCTCCTGTAGCGAATCGATGTGTTTTTGTAAGAAAAATAACCATATTCAAAACGTAATAATCACTTGAATCTAGCTTGCGCTCACTGTTGTACACAGAAGCAGCTCCGGGCGGATGACGTATGGCGGTCGGCTTTGCATGCGCCGCTCAGAAGTGACGAACGCGGAAGCGCAGCAGAGAGATCAAAACAAAACGGTCACTAACTAGAAGTACAAAACGAGGATTTGTAAAGAAGAATGTCAGAGGATTTCGATATAAGCCAAGAGGAGACTGGTTTTCCTTTGCTGAAGTAAGGAAACTTTGCTTCCTTTGATCCTGTAAACAAACGTTGGTTTTGACCTCATACGTCATCCCCCCGGAACTGCTTCTGTGTAAAACTGCTGGCGCAAGCTACATTAAAGTGATTATTACGTTTTGAATATAGATATTTTTCTTACAAAAATGCATCG